TATAAAGGAGTAAAAATATGTAAAAGGAAAATCTTGGTAAATACAGACAGTGTACGACTACAGTGAGCCTGCAAAAGAAAAAAAAAAGTAGTGATCAGGAGAAGTTGGAAGAACTAAGAGAGTATTTGTGCTAAAAGTTAAAGGGAGAAAAACCTTAAGAATCAAATAGATAGTTACGGGCTTTAAATTTGGAAAAGAGGCTTAAAAAGAGAGAAAATGTTATTAAGCTTGCAATTAGAAATGTATTCAAAATGAAAAGCAACTTTAATGAGCTTTAATGGACTGAAGGCAAAATTCAGATTGTATTGAAATGAGACATAATGAGGCTTGTATGTACGCAGAAGGGGCTAGAAGTGATGGTGGATAAAGTTGAGAAGAGGAAGCTACTCTTCCCAGATTCCTAAGTCACAATTATAGAAAGTGACAACGTTGATCATTTTTCTATGTAAAAGGGAAGGAGCAGCTAGGGTTAAAAGAGACTGAAAATTCAAGTAAGAACTTCTGGATAAGAGTAGAGAGGGTATGTAAAATTCTTAAATTTATTTTTAAAAATTTAGGAATATAAATTTAATAAGAATAATATAATACCAAAAAGAGAAATTGGATTTATACAAATAATAAAATACATATGATTTATCATTCTGATTACTTATGTGAGAAGTTCCTCATATGGTATCACTGCTATTTTTTTTTCAAATTGGGAAAGAGAGAAACAAACATAATAAAGACTTACAGTTTCTTTTAGAAATATATTTGTCTGAATGGATGAGTCAAATTTAATATCATACTGATAATCAGAACAAGGGTATAAGAATGTTTTGATTCTTATTTTAGATGGACTTTATCTACAAAGATAAATCAACTGAACTGATAATGATCTAAATTGTTGATTCTCTGAGTAAGTCTGAGAAGTAAATAAGCCAATGAGATACAAAGCTTTGGACGGTTAGACCCTATTCTGATGGGTGGGGGTCGATTGGGCTGGAACAAAATGGCAATCCCTGATGTCCTCTCCCCAGTGAGTGGGCGAATGTACTGCATTACCTGTTTTGTTAGGCATCAGTTTTACCTACTTCTACCACAATGACATTCCGCTTGGATATAAGCAACTGTAGATGACTTTCTGACAGAAAAATAAGGTCCAAGAAGGGCCTAATATTATCTCAGTTATTACTAGTATGAGCCATATCCACCTTAGAGGTTTTCCTATTTGGCACTAGAAATGGGATATTAGAAAGAAGAGGTATTTGGTGCTATTATCTTCTCCTACTTTCTTCTTTCTTATACCCAATAAATATATTTTTTGCTTATTTTGTATTTATTTCCTTTTGTTTCAATTGTTTGGTTCGGTTAAGAGCCTGGTGTTCAGAATTTCAATTTAGTTAGCTTACTTGGGTGTGCTATGGTTGCTTTCTCAGTAATTCCTCTAGCAAAATGTGGAGCTATCTCTTAAAATGCACTTTATTGAAAGTGGTATATTTGTGTTACAAGTATGTTATTTGTTTTCATTTAAATTTTTTAATAAATTTGTAAATGATGTTAATTAAACCTTCGTAAAATGGTCTTATATTTTAAGTGCTTTTCAGATGATATACACAATTACACATATATGCTGTATGTTTTATCATCAGTGAGCAAGCACATGAAGTTTGGTGGTTTAAAATAATAGCACATCAAAGACATATTAGACTGAGTCTGTAAAATATGAAAGCAGACATATTTCCATTTGGACCATGGACTTTCTGCTCAAAATTAAAAATCTTCACTCACATAGAAAGTTGAAAGCAATCAAAATTCATCTTTCTTAGCAATGTACTGTCACCGGTCTGTGATAGCAGGTAAGCAACTGACAGGGATTGCAGGCTGTGCCACACATCTGAACTTTCAGCAATGCTCGAACAAACTCATTCTGCAGGGCCTTCTTCAAGGAGGAAGGATATTGATTTATGGAAAATGATATTAGACATAAAGTATTATGATACATAGATCACAGATGCTGCATCAACATATGGAAGAGTTCTTGCATCAGCAAATAAAAGGGGTCAATAATGTGAAGAGAGTGAGCATAAGATTTATTAGGAGGCTTTATTGCTCTGTGATTTATGAATCGCCACGGATGGCAGTGATGTAGTATAATATTCACCAATGTGATGCAATAAAGATTATTAAAGCATCTAGCAGTGCTATTTTTAGTTTCGGCTATGAACAGAAAATATCTCGGGGCACTCTGTACTTTACAGAGGCGATGGACAGACACTCCTGATTTTTAAAAGATGATCACACTTGTCTGTTTCCACTGCTGGGTTTCTTCTGAAAGAGTTTTGACATTTGTCTCACTTTTCTATTGTAAATGTATATGTGACTGGCAAGGGGAATGAATGAGTGGGTGAGGTTTCACAGGTATGGCTCGGAGTCAGAGCAGCATGGGCGTTAAGAGCAGGGACTCAGGATGTAGAGTGCCATCCTCTCTCTGCCAAGGCCCGATTGCATGTTCTTAAACCAGCTGCTTGATTTCTCAGGAGGAAAGAGATCATGCCTCTAATCTAACTAAGGAGCCATTACATTTGACCCTTTCTAAGTTTTCGCATAAAGAGCAGCTGCTACAGATATACCGACCTAAAAGTATTTAGAATTTGAAGGACATGTGTATTTTCAACCTAAAATTGAAATTGTGCCCCTGTGAAGCCCTGTATAACACTAGATGAATAATGTTATCACTTACTAAATAGAAAATGGAACTACTTTATTTCATATATTCATTTTATTAAAAAATTTATTCGTTTTAATTTGCTTAAAATAGAATTATACCTTAAAATAATGGTAATTACAATTTATATAAATGGCCAGAAAAAGGCTAATTGGTATACTTGTATCATAAAGAACAGACAAAACTGTTGAAGAGACCTTATTTCCTAGGATTATTTTGGGAAATGGTGTTAATGAAATGCATTCACCTCTCAAATATGAGAAAAATCAGTTTTCCAATAAGAAATACTATATTTTTGCTCAGGGGAGATGGGGGGGGGCGGGCAAAGGGGGAATAAGGACACATATGTAATACCTTAATTAATAAAGGAAAAAAAGAGGAACATTTTAAAAGAAAACATATGGGAAAAGCAAGGGGACCACAAAGGGTTTGTTGTGGACTATATATGTTCCTTCCAGGTATAGAGAAAATGTTGAGTTAAAAAAAAAAGAAATACTATATTTTTGCACAGCCGGTGTGACTCAGTGGTTGAGCGTCGACCTATGAACCAGGAGGTCACGGTTTGATTCCATGTCAGGGCACATGCCCGGGTTTCTGGCTTGATCCCCAATAGGGGGCATGCAGGAGGGAGCAGATCAATGATTCTCTCTCATCATTGATGTTTCTATCTCCTCCTCTTCTTTCCTCTCTAAAATCAATAAAAATATATTTTAAAAAAAGAGAGATACTATATTTTAGCTATGTATAATACCATTAAATCTAAACCTAGTATATGTATATTCAAAATAATAACTTGCACGCAAAATTAGGTTTCAGTTTGGTTTCTCATACAAGTTGCTGAAAACAATAGTTTACATGTGATAAAATGTCTTCTTTCTCTTTTTATTTGCTTTATCCCTCCTCTGCCTCTCTCTTTTATCAAACCTGCTAACACTCCTGTCCATCGCCCATACTCTGTCACCTTGGGCTGTGAAAAATTAACTATGCATCAGCTTAGCACACATTCAATTATATTTTCTCATCTGTGCTGCCTAGGATTTTGATTTGTGAACTGTCAGATGCATCCCTTTCTCGTCAAAATATCTTTTGGCGTTATTATGTACAGTCCAACCATCTGTCACACTGACAATCCTAATGCATGCTATTTCTTTTAGGCCATCTCCATGGTTAACATTGAACACAGCGCAGTTCCCTTTCCCACCTAAAGCATATCTTTCTTTCTTTCTTTCCATCAAAACTGAAATCTTCAACTGTGGAGCCATTTCTATACCATTCTACTGTTTATTATGTTGAAACATTTACAACCCAGTTGACAACACTTTAGCTTTTCCCTAAATCCGTGATTTATTATATTTGTGTAGCACACGTTGCTCTGGAAACTGTTAACATTTGAATAAACTGACTGCATTTATTGGGTGTTAGACTCTAGGAAAAAATCCTCATAAAATCTGTTTTGTTCTGAATGGCATCTGGTTCCAACTGAGGAGCCCTAGAAATGTAAGGCCTAGATACAATGTAACCAAAATTCAAACTAACAAGAAGTAAACTAAAATCAGGATTTCCACCTATCGTTGTATCAGCTGAACATACTCATAAAAATAATTCTTAGTACTGTATATTTTAGCTAAATAATCTCCAAAGTACCTTTTTGAGGTTAACAAACTATTCTTGTTTCAGAAATAGGGGAATTTTTAAGAGTATGGTGTATAATTTTCCCTCATTTCCAAAAATGATGGGTAGAGCAGAATGAATTACCAGTAATTTGAAAGTCCTGTTTTCTCTTGTAATGTAAGCTTCCTGAAGAAAGGGGATTGGTTTTGTTCACTGATATATTCCCCATGGCTATATTACTGACTGACACATTTAAAGCAGTCAATAATATTGGCTAAAAGATGGAAAGAACGTTCTCAAATTTCCTCACTCCCTGACATAATAACTATATACATTGCCAGGTGGGTACTGGAAATATTGGGGTTTATCACTTGGTAAATGATATGATTGTCTAACCACTATGCTGTGCACCTAAAACTAATACAAAATAATATTGAATAAAAACTGTAATTGAAAAATAAAATTAAAACAAGACTTTGCACTTTCCTCCTCCTAGGACTCTTTGCTCAGATGTTATCTTATCAGCAAGGACATGACAACCATATTTAACTTGACAGTTTCCTCTGGAACCCACCTGCCCCTTGTCTCTCTTCATTGCCTTCCCTTACTCTCCTTCAGTCATTCTAGTTATTTGATACATATTACTTATTTATTTTTGTTTGTCTGTGTATGTCTTTTTCAGCTGCCTACTGGAATATGAGCTCCTTAAGGACAAATGCTTGTGTCTGATTTTTCTTGTTCCCGTCATTACTGTCTGGGGTACTACAGAATCAACAATACTGAGAATAGCACCTGGCACTTTTAGCCTCCCTTAAGTAGTTGTACAATGAAAGTATAAATTGGTATAATTAGCTTGGAGAATATAAGAAGCATTTATTAGTGTTTTTTTCCATTAACATAATGCTGACTGATTTTAGACCTCTAATATGTGTTTAACAATATGAAATAAACTTGCCCTATATTACTTAGGCTGTCATAAAAAATAAGCAAATATTTGTATACAGTGGGGCTTTGACTTACGAGTGTCCTAACGAGTTTTTTGAGATACCAGCTGTCTCTTGGCTGATGTTTTGCATTGAGTTGATAGAGTAATTTGAGTTAATGAGCTCCTTAATGAGCTCCTTCACAAGCTCGGTCTCCGAACGAATTAAACTCGTAAGTCAAGGCCCCACTGTATTTAGACACTTAAATAGGACTCCAAGGAAGGCACCAAAATAATTTTCAAAATTATTTATGTAAATAGAGGATAACGTTAAAAATACATAGTTGTGTGTGTGTGTGTGTGTGTGTGTGTGTGTGTGTAGTGTTCGTGATACAACTAGCACTATATTGGAGTAGTCCAGAAATATATTGTTTTTGTTTTCTCCTCTCACTAATATGGTCTTCTTCTAAAACCTACTCTTCTTTAAAAACCTATTTGTCTTACTAAAAATTCCTATCTACTCATGAATCATAAAAGACCCCAGGAAGTGGGAGGCTGCAAGGAGACATGATTTAAGAGGAGAAACTGAGGTACAACTGTTCAATAATTTGCAAAATTATCATTGCAGTTGTGATTATGTCAGAAATCCATGCATGTTATTAGAAATGCATTTGTTCCAGGCGATGGTAAACAGAATAATGGCTTTCCAGAGATGTTCCCATCCTAATTCTGAGCCTGTAAATGTGCTACCTTATAGTGCAAAGGGGACGTGCCTAATGTAATTAAGTAAAGGAGCTTGAGATGGGGAAGTCTCCTGGATTACCCAGGTGGGTCCAATGCAATCACAAACGCTCTTATAAGAGGGAGCGTGAGGGTTAGAGTGAGGAAAGATGTGAAGATAGAGGCAGGCATCAGAGAGGGGGAGAGATGAAAATGCTACTCTGCCGACTGTAGTGATAGACGAAGGGGCTGTGAGTCCAGTAATGCTGTTGGCCTATCGGAGCTGAAGAAGGTTAAGAAACAGATCCTCCCCCAGAGCCTCCAGAAGGAACCCTGCGCTCTGCAGACACATCGGCGTTTCCCGAGAGACCCAGACTGGACATCAGGCCTCCACAACTGTAAGCTCCCTTTCTGTTGTTTTCAGACTCTAACTGTGAAGGAGCCGTAGGACACTGTTACGTGGGCTTAAAACTTTTTATGATCCTTCTGACTGCAAGATTCAGGATTTACTTACAACACATGGTTAAACTTTAAGTGGAGCATAAAGAAATACTGGCTTAAAGTAATTTGGGGGCCAATGAAGTGGGCCTGCATGCCTTTCCCTTCCACCCAAGGCTCATTTCTCTGGAGCTTTTCCTTTGTTCCTTTCCTGCTGCTCCTCAAGGCAGTAACTGATGATGGAATTGTTCAATTTAAAACTTAAAATATGACTACATTTAGGTTTGAATGCAGGTTTAAGGAATCTATTATATAAAGAAAATGTTTCATGTCCAGAAACAGTACTTTCCTTGATGAAATGTTATGGTAACATGCTTAATATTTTTATAATAAATCCAGTTCATATACCTTATCCATAGCCAAAATTTTAAAAGCATGACCCCAGCGAAAGTCCCGTTTAGTAAATAAAGTTTCGTTTACAAAGAAATTCTTTCTTACTCCGTAACAATTCGCTCTTCTCTTAATACAGTGTGTAGATATTTAACTCATATAGTAATAACAAAATCTGCATCAGTTTTCCATGGTTGCCATACTAAATTAACATAAACTTAGCACTTTAAAGCATCACAAACTTACTATCCCACCACTGTGCAGGTCAGAAGAGTGGGTGAGCTTGTTCAGTTTCTCTGCTCCAGGCTTCACAAGGCCACATTAAAAATATGAAAAAACTGGTGAGAGTGGTAGTAGAGTTATACACTTGAGTTGATAAATATATAAACATTACATGAAATATGCAATTTACCTTGGGAAAAACCCTCATGTTTGCTTTTGGAAGTGGCCATTGGAAGGGTTCAGCTTGTGAGTTACTGTGAAGTGGTGTCAGCTGGCTTGGCAGAACCAGCTTTTAATCTCACTCAGGAGACTGGCAGAATGCAAGTCCTAGCACTGCACAGCTGAGGCTTCTTTCTTGCTGACTATCAGTCCTGAGCGTCTCCTTAAGCCTCCTGCATTCCCACGTCACATTCCCCTCCCCCATCTTCAAATCACCAGTGGCGTGTCGAGTCCTTCTTCTGTGTCTCTGAGTCTAGCCTAGGTTCTTTGCTTTTTTTTAAATTGTTTTTTTAGGGAGGGAGGGAGAAATTGATTTGTTGTTCCACTTATTAATGCATTTATTGGTGGATTCTTGTATATGCCCCACCTGGGGAGGAACCCACAACCCTGGTGCATTGGCATGATGCTCTAACCAAGTGAGCTATTCAGCCAGGGCAAGTTCTCTGCTTTTAAGGGGCTCATATGGTTACATTGGCTCCACCTGGATAATCCAGAAAATGTTCCTATGTTAAGGTCCAAGATCTTTATTACATCTGCATAGTCCATTTTCCCGAATACCTTAACATATCCTCAGCTTCCAGGGGTTAGTGTGAGGACACCTTTGGGGGAGGGGTATTATTTTGGCTATCAGAATATGCAACATGTATTAAGTACTATGATATCCCATGGTGTGTTCTGAATGCTCAGTGCACATTATTTTCTTGATTTCTTCAACAACTCTATGAGATTGGTACCACTATTTTTCTATTTTTACAGAGGAAACAGAGTATAGGAGAAGTTTGTGTTACATGGTCAGGTTCACAGAGTCAGTTCTGCTTTGTGGCAAATTCCTAAAAAGGACTATGCTATGCAAAATTGCACAATAAAAATGTAGCCTTATGTGAGATATGTGGTAAAAGGCACAACATGCAACAACATTGTCAAGGACACATTAAAAAAATATGTAAGAAAGTGGTAAGAGTGGTAGTAGAGTTATATGTACATTAATGATAAGTATATGAAAATTACATGAAATATGCACTTTACCATGAAAAAAACCTAACTCTCATGTTTGCTTTTGGAAATGGACATTGGAAGAATTCATCTTGTGAGTTATTGTGAATTGGTGGAAGGAAGGTAACTAAAATTAGGTGGAAAGTTGTAACTGCAAAAGTACCAGTGTGGCTCCTGACATGTTGATTGATGTTTCAGGTGTAGGTGTGTGTGTGTGTGTATGTATGTATGTGTATGTGTGTGTATATGTGTATGTGTGTGTATATGTGTATGTGTGCGTGTATGTATGTGTGTGTGTGTGTGTGTGTGTGTGTGTTTGCATTTTGTAGGTTCCTACATGGTTCTATTCAGCTGGGTTCAGTTTTCTGCAGTCACCTAGTGTTTCTTAGGGATGAGTTCATGCATAAGCAAACATAAAATTCACATTATGCTCAAATTGTTCCATAATATGTTAATTGCATTGGAATAAATTTGTGTTTACAAAACAAGTGTTCTAGCATAACTGACTGTGGTAAGAGGCAGAAGAGCTCAGAGCAGTGTCATTTCATAAGAGTATCTTATCTCATATATGTGTGTGTGTGTGTACACTCTGCATACATCAAATAATACAACATGAAAGAGTGAAAAAATGATTTTGAGGCATTTCCACATTAAGGTGAAGTTTAATATATGTCATGACCCTTTAGCAAGATCTTTTGAGGTAGTGACTCTCATAGTATGGGTCCCATAAATCCATATTTTACGAAATTGGCCTTCTACAGCAATTCCTGGCCTTTCTCAACTTTAAGCCTAAGTGTGAACACCCAAAGCAATCACATTATGGAACTTTAAGAGAAGACTCATAACATAATTTTGAGGGTATGCACTTCCATTTGATAGACTGTTTTTGAAGTAAACTCTATATTTTCTAAGCTACAGTGGTTTTGGTTACCTATACCTTAACACAGCTACAAAGAAAAGAGAGGTGGGAGGTGAGATTCAATGACATTTTCAAGTACTTAATAAGTTCTAGGTACTTGATATACTATCTAATTTTGTGTCCCCAACAATTGAAACGGATTGTCTTACTAACCTGTTTATTTTATAATTATGAATATAATTAAGTAAATCAAATAACTTCCCTACTTTCCTCATATCACACTTTAGTCAATTGCAAGATGAGGATTTTTTTTTCATTTTTAAATGCATTTTATCTATTTACCTAAATTTATTAAGGTAACATTGGTTAATAACATCATAAGCATGTCTGTTGACAGTGAAACTCATCATATTCCTCTCTACTGTAGGCCTGGCCTAGTAAAAAATATAAGTAAATAAAATAAAGTATTTACCCTAGTTATTCCTTGTCTGAATCTGTAACCCAAGTTCACTAAATACAAAAATAAACTGTTATCCCACAAACTAGCTTTCCTTTTTATTCCTCATTATTATTAATACTAGAGGCCCGGTGCACAAAAATTTGTGCACTTGGGGGGGGGGGGGCCCCCAGCCCGGCCGGGGCCCTCCCCCCGTCT